GGTTGAGAGTTACATTCAGCGGGCCCGTCTCAGAGACCCAGCTTGTCTTGGGAGAGCACTGTTTGCTGCCTGGTCTCTGGAGATGATTCAGCAGCCCCCCCGCCCCCTGCCCCCTCCCTCAAAGACAGTGCTAACAATTAAAGGAAGAAGAAAACTTTCACTCACTTACTCCCAAGGAAAAGCCACCTACATTCATAGGTATCATCTTTTTATCCCTCACTACAGCGCTAGCAGTGTGTTATGGTTTGTATTTGAGTGTCCCCGCCAAAGCCTCATTGTTAATGGTTGATGCATTGTGCCAACTCAGGGAGTCTAGAGGTTTGGCTAAGTGACTCAGCAGTTCTGCCTCTTGGGGTGAAAAGGACACTCCCTTACCCTTCTGGGATATTGTTTATTGTGTTAATTTGAGAAGTTTAGAAGGTTAACAATGCAACTCAGAAGGGGTCCAGGGTGCTTACTTTGTATTCATCCTGAGCCTGTGCAAGAGGCAGGCAGGCGGAGGGTGTGGGTGTGGAGGGCCACCCCCACCTCCCCAGAGCGGGTAGACTGCATAAAAAAAGGAATTGAAGAAGGACTGGCTGCTGGTTCTCCAGAGGAGGTCAGGTCTTCGCCTTCAGCTCGGTCGTCTCCTGGCTTCAGGTGCAGACTGTTGTCCGTTTGGACTCTTCAGCCTTCTGGTGTTGGCTCTCCGGCCTTTATCATAGATTCTTCAGCATTTCGTCGCAGACCCATCAGCCTTTTGATACGGACTCGCATGGACACTGCAGCGAGCTCCAGGCCCGGGGCTGGGCTCTTCAATCTCCAGTGTGCAGACACCCTCTGCACGCTTCCTCATCTAACTCTGTAGCTGACCATTGTAACCCAAACTTGTAATTCCTTGTACATTTGTTTATCTTGTATTATATCTGTTCCTCTAGTAAACCCTGACTGATACACTCATGCAGTCATGGGTGGCTTCTAGAGTTTATGATTGATTCATGGTCCAACGCTGGGATTATGGGTATGAGTGCTACACCTGCCCTGGGGCAGATAGTTTGCATACAATGTAAAGGAGGGAAAGAGGCTTGCCTTCTGCTGCTCCCCCCTTATTGCTCTTGTTGTTTTTGCTGTTTTCTGCCACCATGAATGGTTGCCCTCTGCCTTATGCCACTCTGCCTTGGAGATAGCTGAGTACAGAATAGACTGAAACCTCCACAAACTGTGAGCTAAATAAACCTTTCTTTCCTTAATTTTGGGCATCAGGTATTTTATCTCAGCAACAAGGGAAAAGTAACAAAGACACAGGGAGAGACCATTGTTCCCATTTTACAGATGGAGAAACTGAGGCTGAATATGTGCCTTGGGCCACACAAGTTGGTAAGAAGTAGAACTAGTTGCAACATCAGTTGAAAGGCCCTACAGCTTGACCTCAGAGATGGACTTGCCCCAGATAGCCTGAGTTATACCACTGTCTGCTATCTAATGGAACCTGTTCAACCCTGGGCAAGTGGGTCAACCTCTCTGCGCCTCTGTTTCTTTGTATATAAAGTGGGTGTGTATGACACTACCTGCCTATATGGTTGCAGTAGGGATTAAATACATCAATACCACAATACACTTAGACTCGTACCCAGCATAGCACATATTCAAACACCCATGCACTTTCTACTATCTTGCCTCAAATTCCTTTCAGGTTGCCAGGGCCTGATCTCTTCATTATACCAGGTGCTTCTTAAGACAGTGAAGTTTTAGAGTTCAAGCCTAAGCTTGGGAGATACTGAAGCTGCAGGGTGTACTCCTGAAATCTGCCCCTCCAAACTGCCTTCCCAGCCTGCTGCAATGCTGCCTCTGGCTGATTAAAAGCCATCACTGTCTGGTGCAAACTGAGAGACAGGGCACTCATCCCTTTTATGAAAATCCAGCAAGCGGGTGTGACAGGGAGATAACCACCCCCCACCCCTCTCTGAGGCTGAAGATACTTAATTATCTGAAACCCCGATAAGCAGCAGGAGCAGGATGGCACTCCAGACACGGAGAAGCTGAGCCTCGCAACCATAGCCTGCGAGAGTTATTAAAGCTAACGAGGTGACTTGGGCTGGGATGAAGGGTGAGAAAATGAACCTGAGGTTGTCAGCAGCCTCCAGGACCTCTTGCTCACAGTGGAACGGGGTGGGAGAGGCAGGGAGACGGGCCACGGAGGGAGGGACGAGGAGGACAGCACGCAGAGTCCAGGGGAAAGAGCAGCCTCCGAACCTGCCGTCTCCTGCAGAGGCGGTTTCATGAGACCGAGGGGCTCACTGGGCTGTTCCTGTACAGTCATGCAATTGCCAGACCTCAGGAGGGAGGCCTCAAAGTGCCACTTGGCAAGTTAGAAACCAGACAAGGAGTTAGGGGAGACAGAAGACGTGGGGACACATACAGGCCAGGGCGCACTGGTGGCCAGGCTGCGAGCCTGACTGGGGTCTCTGTGTCTGACCTCATGGCCCTGAGTCAGGGAAGCAGCTACATGGAGGGTGTCTTGATTTGTCCTTCTGGGAGTGAGCATGTGACACGCTACGTGACGGTATATACAGGGCTTAGTGCGAGCCCGCAGCCACAGTAAGGCTCAGTGGATGCTGTTCTCGAGAATCTTAGGGGCTAGGGCTCTGCAGTAAACGCCCAGCAAGTTGATTTTACAAACCTTGACGAAGTTGCAGCTCATCACTTTGGGCTCCAAAATAAACTTAAGCAAATTGCTTATGTTCAAAGAAAGAGTATGGACAAATCCAAAGAGGAATCCATTTGGCTTCCACTGCACTCAACTGAAGACGATAAAGCAAGACAAAATGTGATGTGGGATTGTGGCCTCCAACCAGGAGCTCCCCAAGCAAGGAGAAAAGAGGCTCCTGCAATGGGAATAAAAGCAACAGAAAGCTTGGGGTCCAGGCCGCCGCCTCCAAGGCAAACATATGGGTTCTAAATCCTGGTTCTGCCTCGTGCTGGTTACTGAGCTTAATAAGTCACCTCGCCTCTCTCACCTCAGCCATAAGTAGGAATAGAACCCACCCCACACGGGTTCTTAGTGAGAGAATTTAAAAAACCGAATTAGTGAGTGAATGTGTGCAGTACGCTGCACATCATCTGTGCTTGGTTGTGGGCCCAAAGTCACAGACCAAGGACATGGGAGAACCAGGCTGACTCTTGAGCTCATAGCAGAATTCCAACCAGTTCCCTGGGAATGAGGATACCATCCACTTCTCTTTCCTCAGAGTCCTGACAGGAGGAAAAGACCCAAGGCAGAGCTGGTGGGTCCTAGAGGAAAGGGTAGGACATAGGCAAAAGGAGAGCCAAAAGGAATTTCTAAACTTTGGGGTGAGTGTGTGGAAGGCAGCAGCCACCAAACCCGTTCTTAGAAGGACCGCACAGGCAGGAGGCCTTGGAAGCAAGGACAGCACCCGCGGTGAAATGTACGCTGACACAGCAGGCTCCAATAGCAATGTGCTTACTTTGGAGCAGGCGTGACTGAACCAATCTCACTGTCGTCATTACATCCGTGTCACCAGGACTGTTTCAGACACATGCTGCCATGTTCTTGTCACTTGGAGCTTCCTCCTCTGAGCCCAAAAATGCTTCATAGGGGCTGGAATTCTATCTGCTTGTTACTCTATCCCAAGAGCTCTACCATGTGCAAGAGTGTACAAAAACAGGGTTGTTGCTGGTGGTGGTGGAGTATGTTGTACATTTGGCAAATATTCATTGGCTTGACAAATACCAGGAACTGTTTAAGATGCCAGGAATATACAACGGAGAGGAAGATGGATAAAGCCTGATATGATTTAGTTTGGAAATGTTCCCTGAATGTTCATATGTTGAAGGCCTGGTCCCCAGGGCAGCAGTGCCCCCAGAAATCTCATTTTAGAGATGAAGGAGGAGATCAAACAGGGACCGAGGATAATAATGTTCCCTCCCAGCTCAGCCTTCTGCAAGATGCAACCTGCCCAGAGGTGCACCCGGCTCACCAATCCCAAAGGTGCACAAAGGACTCTGAGCTGGCCAGGACTGAGGATGTGGCACATTCCCATCTGGACAGACTTCTCATCCGTAGTCCTCAGGACTTCCAGGCCAATGGGTGAGGAGCCAACTTTATGCTAAATTCAGTCACACAGCTATTCCTCAGAGCTGGTCCTTCCACAGATGTGTGCTTATCCTGCAGGTGGATTCTGTTCTTATCTCCACTTTGCAGAAGCCCAAGGTAATGGACAGCCAAGCTGTGAAGTGTGACCCAAAGTGTTTATTAAATAAATGAATCAGTGGAAGAAGGGAGGAAGGAAGAAGGAGTGAAAGGAGAGAGGAGGGGAAGAGGAAGAAACTATATTTACCAAGATAATTCCTTTAAGGAATACAAACTCCACGGACATAGGCACCTTGTGTTAGTCAGTTTTCTGTTGCTGTGAGAAAATAACCTCACAAATCAGCTTATAAAAGGGAGGGTTTATTCTGGCTCAAGTTTGAGTTTATAGTCATCTAGCTGCATTGCTTTGGGGCTGAGGTGTGTCAGAACATCATGGTTGGGGAGTGTGTTGTTGGGGTGGGTGCTCAGCTCATGGCAGCTAGGAAGCAAAGAGAAAGAGAGAAGGACAGACAGACAGACAGATAGACAGCAAGGACAGGGCTGGGCACAAAATATGCCCCTCAAATGCAGATCACTAGTAGCCCATCTCTTCTACCTGTGCCCCATCGCCTCCCAAGAGATAATTCAGCTATGAACCCATCCATGGATTAGTCCACTACTGATGTCAGAGCCCTCATGACCCACTCAACCTTCCAAAAGCTCTGCCTCTGAGCACTGTCTCTCTGGGGACCAAGTCTTCAACACACAGACATTTATGGGGCATGAGAGTCAACTGAGATTGTTTTTTAATGGCTGTAAAACTTTATTCCAGTGCTTGACACACAGGAGGCCATGAAGAACCTCAGGATCTCCAGGACTGCTCCCTCCTCACACCTCTTCCTCCTCTTGGCCACTTCCCTGTTCCACTTACATGAACCTGAGCTCAGACTCCCGTCTGACCAAGACTTCCCGGAGACGCTGGATTTTTGCCATCTCTAACTCGATTTCTTCTGGCATCATGGTTGTCTCTGCCATGGAGATGATGTCCAGCTGATCTGTGCAGAGACACAAAACACAGGTGTCAGGATGCCGGGGCCATGTGAATTTTCAAGAATTCCTGTAGGATACACCCTGCCATCGTTCCGGGTCCCAGGGACCAGCACACCATGGTGATGCACAGATATCAGCCACACACAGACCTCCGCATGTGCTGCAAACATGTCTCTGTGAGTGGGCCCTTTGGACACTACAAGACACATTTTCTATGATGTTGTAGTTTGAGTAGGGTTTGTCCCCACCGAAACTCATGTTGGATCTTGGTCCCAGTGTGGCAGTGTTAGGGGGTAGTGGGGACTATTTTTTTGGTATTGGAAAATGAACACAGGTCTATACACTGAACCTTCTCAAGTCTCTAAATTGCCTAGGGAACAGCCCCAGTATGCCCAGGCTGGACACTGTCGAGAAGCCCCACAGAGCTGGCTGTTGGTGAGGTGAACCAGTGCTGTTTTGGTACACTGACACATGGAACAGAGGTAGGCCAGTGGGCAAGGCTGCCGTTTTATATCAAAGGGTTTAGGGAAAACCCAAAAGCATTCAGGGAAAACCCCAGTAGTCCTAGGTCACTTCACTGCCCAAATCCCAGAGTGAAAAGAAGGAAGAGCCCAGTGACGCAAGAAGGCAAGCAACCTTGGCCTGTAGTGGAACAAGGGCACTACCTCTGCCCCACAACCAGCAGGTAAAAGAAGCTAGTACTGTGAAGCAAAGGAAGCTGTTCAAGGTCCAGAAGGAGCCAACTGTACACAGGTCTGGGAGCAACTCAGGCCCTCCCTACCTGAGAACACCACAGCAACTGGGAGAGTGACATAAAGACAAGCACAATCAGAAGAAATGGACATCTAAAACATTGTCAGCTGAAGACCAGTTCCAGCCCCCACACCTAGAGGCCAAGGTCACCTCCGCATCCAGCACAAATCCTACAGCAAACTTGGTGGGGTTACACAGCACATTTCTGGGACCTCACTTGGACAGTACCACAGAACTGTGCATACCAGAGGAATTTTACTATTTTTCTTTTTCTTTGTTTGAGTGGTTCTCCTTTTTCAGTTTGGTTGGGGTGTTTTGCTTTGTTGTCTTGTTTGTTTGTTTTTTGTTTCTTTTGGTTTTGTTTTGCTTACTATTTAAGCTTCTTGTCTTGATTTTTGTTTTGTTTTATTCATCTTCTTTCTCTTTTCCCTCAACTACCTCTATTGATTTTATGATATTTTCATGGGAGTGAACATAGTCTCTTCTCTTTCAGGTTCACTTCAATATTCTTTTGGTTTCCCTTTCAGTCTTTCTGTCCTGTGCTCCCCTCCAGTTTCCTAAAACTTGGGTTATATTATATTCATGACCACCAAAGCAGCTCTCCCACATGTTCTGAAGGATATTTTAGAAAGAGATAAAGAGGACGACAATTCTAAAAACATCAATAGAAAGAAGCTTCCAGACAAGACAAAGCAATTAAACACAGGGGAAAGACAGGGTACTAACAACAGGAAAATAATATGAGAAGGATAAGCCAATGCATATCAGTTATAACCATCAATATTAATGGTCTTAATTCACCAATCAAAAGACACAGATTGGCAAAACAGATGAAAAACCAAGATCCAACAACATGCTGCATACAAGAAACACATTTAAGTCTAAAAGAAATTCATAAACTGAAAGTCAAAGGATGGAAAATAATACTTCATGTGGCAGGAACCCAGAATAAGCATGGGTAGCTATTCTATTTGCAGACAATGTGAACTTTGAGCCAAGACTGATCAAAAGAAACAAAAAGATCACTAAATACTTATTAATGAAAAACTCCAAGAAGAAGAGATCACAATCATAAATATACATGTATCAAATAACAGTGTAACCAACTACATAAAACAAATAATAATGGACATGAAAAATCAGATAAACACTAACACAATTGTAATAAAGGACCTTAATACCCCACTGTCACAAAGAGACAGATCAACTTGACAAAAAATCAACAAAGAAATATCAGAACTAATCCAAACCTGTGAACAAATGGACCTAGTAGGTGTCTACAGAATATTCCACCCCACAACATCAGAATATGCTTTCTTGTCAGCCACACATGGGACATGCTCCAAAACAGACCACATACTAGCCTATAGAACATGCTTAAGTAAATGCAGAGGAATGGAAATTATCTCATGGATATTATTTGACTATTGTGCAATGAAATTGGAAATCAATGGCAAAAGAAACCACAAAAACTACATACATAAACACCTGGAAATTAAGTAATACCTTCCTGAACAACCACAGAAGAAATTAAAGAAATTAAACAGTATCTATAATTAAGTGATAATAATGATACATATGGGAACTTATAGCATATTGGAACTTATAGGACACAATGAAAGCAGTCCTAAGAGGGAAATTTATAGTGGTGAATTTTCACATAAAAAAAAAACAGAATAAGCTCAAATAAACAACCTAATGTTGAACCTCAAACTTCTAGAAAAAGAACAAGAAGTCAAACCTAAAGCTCATACAAGGGAGGAAATTATAAAGATGAGAGCAGAAATTGATGCAATTGAGACTAAAAAAAAAAAAAAACACAAAGAATCAATGAATTGAAGAGCTGGTTCTTTGAAAGATTAAATAAAATTGAGGAACCCTTAGCCAACCTTATCAAAGAGAGCAAAGAAAAGACTCAAATTCATGCAATTAGGAATGAAAATGGTGAAATCACAACAGGTTCTGTGAAAATCCTGAAGATTATCAATACCTACTTCAAGAACCTGTACTCTAATAAGGTGGAAAATACAGAAGAAATGTAAAGATTCCTAGATATATATGAATTTGTCAATACTGAATCAAAAAGATATAAATATTCCTTAGGCTGGGGATTTGGCTCAGTGGCACAGCGCCTGCCTGGCAAGCACGAGGTCCTCAGTTTGAGCCATGGTACCCCCTCAAAAAGAAGAA